TCCAAAGCAGGCTCCGGGCTCTGAGCTATCAGCACAGAGCCCGATGTGGGACTTGAACACAGAAACCACAAGATCATGACCTGAGCAGAAGTTGGGTGCTCAACCGATGGAGCCATCCAGGCACTCCCAGTCCCAGAGAGCTTCTAACACCACTGGAATCTCTGAAATTAATGAGTGTCTTTTTGTATGCTAATGAGTGACTGATGGGCCCTTAGGAGGGCAGTTGGATGCCAGAGGGACCAACCTTGTGATGGGAGGGTTAGAACTTTCAGCCTCTCCCCCACACCTCCCACTCTACCCCTCTACCTCTGGGGTAGGTAGAAGGGCTGGAGATTGAGTTGCTAGGTCAAAGGTCATGCTTATGTGATGAAGCCTGTGTAAAGAGAGTCAGTGTGCTCCAACCGTCCTGGGAACAGAGGCTCCTGGGTCTGGGAACCTTCTGACCTCACACCATGGACCTCTTCATTAGGTTGTTCATTTATATCTTTTGTAATATCCTTTATAATAAGCTACTAAATGTAAGTATGTGAGTTCTGTGAGCTGCTGTAGCAAATTATCAAACATGAGGAGGGGGTCATGGGAACCCTGATTTCTAGCCCTGTTGGACAGAAGTGTGAGTTACATGGGTACCCATTACTTGCAATTGGTGTCTGAAGTGGGAGGTCAGTCTTAATTGCTTCTCGGCCTTTTGGCTAAGATCAGGTGAAGTGGGGGGCAGTCTTGTGGGAGTGAGCCCTTGGTCTGTGGGGTCTGCACTAACTCAGGTAGTTGGTGTCAGAATTGTTTGTAGAACACCCACTTGGTATCTGGAGAGTTGTAGAATTGATTGCTGTGTGAAAACCCCATACACATTTGGAGTCAGAAGTGTTGTGAGAAGAGGAAACAGTTTTCCTTTCATAGGCTACTGTACTTTTCATAAAATAGAATCCATTATGATTCTTAGACCTTTCGACAACTTTTAGTGAACAAAATAGGGAGCACAGGTTTTCTAGTACCCAAGTCAATTTCCAGCTTATCAGAAGATATAAATATAACAGGCAAACATTTTATTCTCTCTCGAAAGTCCTTCAGTAACTTCTTGCTGCCACTCGTTCCTCTTACAAATATGACATCACTTTGTGACTATAGCTTTGGATTTCACTGATACATGACAGTTTATTTTGATTGTAGTATGTTATATTTTACCTGGATTTTTGGTATATATGATCAGCAACTTACGCTTCTGTGCTAGTTCTCCGACTGGATGGTTAAATAGAGCAGGTTTCATCTGCAAAGGTGGGGATTGTTGGCACCAACATTGGGAAATAATTGTTTTTGGCTTTGAATGCAGCTCTTCTGTTTCAGTATTATAGCAAAAGCTTTCTTGTTTGAAACACTGGAATGAATCTATTGTACTTATTATTATTGGGCTGCTTGTAGTTCATTTCTTTCCATGGACACAAGTTGATAAGGAGATTAAAATATGGCAGGTGCGTTAGTGGGACTTGGGCCTCTGTTAGTGCATATGGGAGGTTTGTTTAACCATTTCCTGACTTTGTTGAAAACCTATACTTTTGGGGCACCTGGGTAGCTCAATTGGTAGCTGAAATGGCTCAGGTCATGATCTCACAGTTCATGGGCTCCAGCCCTGCATTGGGCTCTCTGCTGTCAGCGTGGAACCCACTTTGTATCCTCTGTCTCCCTTCTCTCTCTGCCCCTCTCCCACTTTCTCTCTCTCTCTCTCTCCAAAATAAAACATTGAAAAAATTTTTTAAAAAGAACAAAAACCTATATTTTTATACCCCTTTTCCCCCTGACTTGGTATGTTGTCAGCATCTTTCTGGGTTAATAACTGTGCTTCTGAGCTATATAATTTTTTTGTGGTTACATGACATTTCATTGTATGGCTATTCTGTGATTATTTAACGGAGTTTTCATTTTTTTTTCCCAGTAAAAACAAACATCTCCTCCTTTAGCTTCTATCCTTGTTTTATAGGATAGACCTTTTAAGATGTGTATATCATGCATACTGCCAGACTTTCTCTTTTCTATGTAAAATGTTTAAATTATGGAATATTTCAAATATATTGAAAAGATTGAAAAAGTATGATTAACACCTTTGTACCCTCCACCTAGCTTTAACAAATAGTAACATTTTGTCATGTTTGCTTCAGATTTTCTTTAAAGAAATAAAGTGCAGATGCTGTTAAATTGCCACTTTTTCCCACCCACACCCCATCATTTGCTTTTCCCACTCTTTCTCCCTAGAAAAAGACTGCCTAGAGGTAGTCTTTGATCTTTGATATGTATCATCCTCATGCACTTAAAAAAAAACCTTTTTATATGTATGCATATGCCTGTAGCAATGCAAAATTTTTCTTTTTGGGTTTTAAAAGTGTATAAAATGTATATACTTTTACTGCTTTAATTTCCTACTTGACATATGGTTTTGCGATTTATCCATTCATTCATTTATCCTTTCATTTTAGCTGTTTTCAAGTGTGTTTCTATACTATAATGTACTTATCCATCAATGGACCTTTTGGTTATTTCTAATTTTACATCATTTTAAACATTGCAGCATTGAATTTCTGTGTACATGTCTTCTTGGGCACATATATGAGAGTGTTCCTAGAGATTATACCTAGAAATGGAATGGCTTGGGTTTAGTGTTCCTCATCTTTATATTTAGTAAGTGATTATTTCACTTTACATTCTCCCCAGCAATATATAATAGTTACATGCCCTTATAACCTTACCAAGTCTTGGTATTTTTAAAGTTGTAATTCTTGCCCACCTGAAGGGTATAAAATTATATCTTGTCTTGGGGTGTCTGGGTGGCTCAGTCGGTTAAGCGTCCGGCTTCAGCTCAGGTC